AAGATGGGTAAAGGGAGAGGAAGTGTGGTATATAAAGGATGGGTTATGGGTCGAAGGGGGGGAAGATGGGTAAACGGAGAGGAAGTGTGGTATATTAAAGGATGGGTTATGGGTCGGCGGCAACAACTCTGCATCATTACAGATCGGTAGTACTCCCTGGCTGCTTGCATCGGTACATGACTGTGCCGGGAATCAAACTGGTGACCTCAGGGGGGGGAAGGGGGGCCAAGGGGGGAAAGGGGCCGAAGAGGGGTAAAGGGAGAGGAAGTGTGGTATGTAAAGGATGGGTTGTGGGTCTGCAAGGACTCTGCATCATTACAAATCAATACTACTTGCTGTCTGCTTGCAACGGTACATGACCCTGCCCGGAATCGAACTGGTGATCTCAAGCCGTAACAGCTGCATGCACAGTGGTAGTGGAGCCTGTGAAGCTTACTGGAAGAAAAGACCCTAGCTCAATTGGTAGAAACGTGGTACATCTATTATTAAAAAAAAAAAGAAAAGAAACTTGGTACGTCTGCAGACTGTTGAAAAATACAGACTTGAGTTCAAAATTCAAATTCCAGATGGAACGAGATGAACGGAATTGCTGAATTACCTGAGCGGCTGAGCCTGGTCAGTTTTTTTTACTTTTTTTTTCACGATGATATCTCAAGGCCGTCACCCTTGTAAAGAGAGAAATGAAAAGTTGAAAACAGTTTTACAAAAGATAAAAAAAATAATAATAAAAAAAAATTGCAGTGTAGTATGATTATCATACATGTGGCGCATCGTGTGCGCGCAAGTTGCGCACGTGCGCCGCATTGCGCACGCGCACACGTGCACGATGTGGCGCAGCTACGAATGAAAAAAAAGAAATAAAAAAAAATCAAAAGGGCAGGCTGTGGTAACCAAATGTGTGCCTCCCTTTTGAAAATTGTAAGTGCACAGAAGAAAAAAAAATAATAATTTTGCGCCACATCCTACTCCTCATTGGATCATTGGATCTAGTCTCTTTTCCAAAGGGTCCCCCTGCAAAGAATTAGCAGGGATTCCACACGTTGGGTAGGACGTTCATCGAACTGCTGGACGATCACGAGCAGGCCAGCAATATATATTCTGGATTCGGATTCAGGTCTGTGTTCCAAGAGTTATGGGTTACCAACTTACTCCAAACACTACAGTAGCTGTCTCGTCTTTTTTTGTTTTTCCTTTTCTTACCTGCAGTGTGCGACCCTAAGGGCCTTGCTCCACTCATTCACAAAAGAAAAACATATGGCTTGTATGGTTCCAGTTTCTAGGAGAAGATTCATTCTACGGTAGTTTTGCACATGTGGTGAGTAGCGGAGTGAAGCCCTGAAAATCACATGCCGAGTTAGTAAGTCCGTAACCCATAACTGCTGAAACACGGACTTGAATTCGAAGCTACACCATATATAGCTAGCCTGCGCCCTCCTTACTACAAGCCCAGTGACTACCCTTCTCGTGCTGACAGGACCCTTGCCAATTTTTGGGAGGGATCTTTTGAAGTACCGGCAGGGGATTTCTGAATAATGTGAAAGGTTCCGAAGGGCTCTTCTCTCTCTCTCTCTCTCTCTCTCTCTCTCTCTCTCTCTCTCTCTCTCTCTCTCTCTCTCCAGTGTGTAGACACGCATCACGGTTGCTTCTTTTTTTTTTCTTTTTTTTTTTTCGCGCATCTGTGATCACCACACCGCACTGCGCAGCGCACCTCACGTATGCGCCGCAAGTATGATGATTTTATACTATTATTATTATAATAATTTAATAAATAATAATATATGGATCTCGCACTCTGATGAACACCAGCTCCATTTATGGTACGGTCCCGAGTTCCATAACCAGCCTCTCATCACTCTGATGAGTACCACTTCCCAATATACCCTGAACCCTAAGCTCCCCATTACACCCTAAACCCTAAACCCCCTAAACCCTAAGCTCCACAGTACATCACTGGATAAGCGCGGAGGGGTGGCCCCATCCCCCCATGATCAGTTCGACAGACTCGTCCCGCACCCTCGCCTCGCCTCCCATATTGCAATGCCAACAAAGCAGGGTTCCCGTTCAAAGGTGACATCCTTGAGGCGAGGATGAAGGACGGAAAGCCAGCCTTCTTTGTTGGCATTGCAACATGGGAGGTGAGGGGAGGGTGAGGGGCGAGTCTGTCTAGCTGATCGTGGGGGAAGGGGGCCACACCGCCATGTTCATCCAGTTATATGTACTGTTTTTGAGACCCTTTGCTGCATGTTCGGCAGTATATGACTAATTTCTTATATTAAATCTGATTAATAGAATTTCGCAATTTGCTAGGGGTTTTTTTTTTTTTTTTTTTTTTT